AAGACCAGGGATAACTTTCTAGGGATGTATTTGGATTGTGCCGCGGATGGCTCTTGTGCCGCACAGAGGACTTCAGACATGGCTAACCCAGTTATCTGTGGTTAACAGTCATAGATGGTTCAAGTTGGTACCGCCTTGCTTACGAGCGTGGTGAAAGCACAGATCAGTGGCTATGATGACCATTTGTTGCAATGACTGCATGTTGCAAAATAGTCCACACACAATCCAGTTCCAAACCTGGTTTGGACTTGCAGGTAGACTGCCTACCCCCTCATGTTTTGGATCGAAGAAGGGAACATCACAATGTGTTGGCTCTCAGCAGCAAGACGGGGTGTGGTAAAGACTAGCCTGTGCACTAATTGCAGGTTATGGGGCCTCCTTGGCTGACTAAGGGGAGGCTCTTTTTCATCCTAGAGTCTTTGCTATAAAATCCTCAGCTGCTTTTGATGGGTTGGACTTGGGTTGTGACTGCAGAGGGAGGGGACTTTCCAGATATAAAAGAATGCTAATGAAAACCTAGCGGTGGACAATGCCTGCAGTTCCTGTCCCAGGTGAGAGCTTTATTATTAATATTTTTATTATTAGGCCCTTGTTGAGGATGAAGTAGCACACGAAAGACCCCAGCTCTTTGTCGTTTGTATTACTGAGGAGCCCCAGTCACGGACCAGGCGCCGTTGCATGAGACAAATGCGGACTAGAAGGACAGGCTGCAGGGTTCAGAGCTGGACCCTTATGTAAAACCAGACTGCCGATGGAGGCATGGAGATGGAAAGGAGGGTTTGAGGACAGTTTTGTGGCTTTTGAGTGTTGCATCGCACATTTTTGAGTGTTGCATTATTTTCTGGGCTTTTTTTGGTTGCATTGCGTGCACCTCTCAGCTGTGAGGGGCAGCTTAAAGACCTGAGGCACTTAAAACTGTTATTACCTGGGAGCGGATGGCATTTTTCTGACTGTAGAATGGTCTCTTGTTGGGTTTGGAGAGCGATCAGTGAGGGGTCCTTGAGATCCAGGTCTCGATCCGGGGTTGCGTGGCTGCACAGAGGGGAACAATGCATTGCAGTGAGCGCACAGCTGAGTCGGGCCACCTGGTGTCTGTTGGGCTGGGCTGGGCAGTCGCTCTTGGCAGAAGATCAAGGGTGCAGAGTGGGAGGAAGATTGCGTCTGTCCTGCGGGACTAGGAGAAAGTGTCCGTGTTATGGGTTTTGCTGAAGGTCAAGGGTACAGAGTGGGAGGCAGGTTGCGTCTGTCCTGGGGGACTAGGAGAAAACGTCCATTTTGTGGGGTTTTGCTGTGGAGTAAGAATCTGTGCACAGCCTGGGCCAAACCTGCTTTGCTGCCCCTGATCCTGGTCCGTGGTACGATGCCCCAAATGTCTACAAACCCTCTTATCTGCTAACGCTTTGCTAAGTGTGAAGGACACTAGTGAGCACAGAAACCGCTTGGCTGAGAGAATTCGCGAGACAACAGACACGTGTGTACAGCGTACTTGGGAGATTGTCTCAAATGGTTGAAAAGCAATGGTGTCAAGTGTAACCCTGTCTGTCTCACCTTGGGATTCATCTAGGGCCAGCCAGATGTTTTGTTGCTTAGTCAAAATGCTATTTTTTTCTTCTGTAGGCTTCAGTCTTCTCTGAACTATTCCTCTCCTTGTCTTGTTAACGAAAGCCAGAGTCCTGAAGGTCTGTGTGACATCTGTGGCATTAACCTAACAAAACTGGGTGCACCTAAGGATGAAGTTTCCAACCTCTGCATGTAGCCAGGTGTTGATTTTTATTGGACTTCTCCTTGTCATCAGAGGCAGCATGGCATCTTAGTGGCTATTTGTAATGTTTAATTTATAGGAGCAGATACATTTTGACAATTAAGAGGAAGTTCTGTAAAAATGACTTCCTGCAGTTCATCTGGATTAAGGGGCAAGTGGTTTTTCATGCAACCAGGACAACTTAAAAATTGACAGCTATGTGTTATTGTGGCATCGGGAAGGTGGTAATCTTTCATCTGTGTTTCCTCAGGTTATCACTTAGCAGAACAATCCTAGCAGCAGTTATGCAGAACACGGATCGCACGGAAGACGACAGAAACTCAAGCAGTGACAATGCAGGCAACGGTACAGAGGCAGCGGGGGACCAGCCTACGGACTTCAGTACTGAAATCATGAGTGTCACGGAGATGGAGCAGTCTCCTGATGGCTCTCCTGACGTAACGGAGGAGACCGCACAAGACAGCAAAATCCCAAACGTTGCAGACTTGACGACAGACATAGAGGCTAACTTCCCGCCAGAGTATGAGAAGTTTTGGAAAGCAGTAGTGGAAAATCCCCAGGATTTTACAGGCTGGGTATATCTATTGCAATATGTTGAGCAGGAGGTTAGTACATCTTCCTTCCCACCGTACTTAACAGAAGATGAACTAGGCATTGAACTAGACTTCTGGTTCCTTCTAGCCCCAATTCCATGTGATCCTGTGATTCCAGTCATTAAATGGTATTGCTCTTGAGCGTGGCTCTGGTCAGTCATGATTTGCCATTTCATCACCCACCTAAGAACATAATGCAAGCGTGAAGAGGGCTAGTCCTTTGAAATGGTTTAATTGGAGAGTTTTGGAAGAGATTTGTCATGACTTGTAAAATCCTTTTAAAGATTAGCCCTGGCTGGCTCCTTACATGCATGCCCAGATCACACGTAACGATTGATGTTTGTCCAGTACTTTGAAGAGGTAAAGTGCTGTTGAAGTGCTAAGTATTGTTACTGGCCCTGCTGTTAATGCAAACTTTTGCTGCCAACATTTCCCTGTGATTCTCGGAAAGGTTGGCATTGCTGCAAATTTTTATGCTGATTTAAGACGGGCAAAACTCAACGTTTTGTTTCTGTGGCTTTTGCTGAGTTAAATCGATGAGGGGTTGCCTGTAGAATCACTGAAAATGCGGAGCTCTGCTGAGACCTAGGTGAGGGTTGATTGCTTCTCTCTAGAGGCTGAGGTCCAGAGGCAGAGGTGGAGAGAAGCAGTCTTGACTGAGGGAGGATGGCAGGGATGTATGAGAATACTTGTGTGCTGGGTGCGATCAGGTCATGCCTGTAACTTAAGCCACCTAGCCCAAGCATGAGTGTTGTTGCTGGATAGATCCAAAATTGTATTAAAAAATGGTTAAGCACATTGATGTTACAGTATAGCTTTCTGTATTTTAAGAGGAATGGGTGCCTTCCCTGTAGCGAACAGCCTCAGTTCTTTAACAAATTGTAATTTGGGATCATTGAACACTTTCTTTCTTTCTGTTTCAGAACCATCTACTGGCTGCCAGGAAAGCATTTGTCAATTTTTTCACACATTATCCATATTGCTATGGATACTGGAAAAAGTATGCGGACCTCGAAAAACGCCACAGCAACATTAAACAGTCTGATGAGGTACGTAGGTATCTGGAGAAGGCTTTTACCATTGGTCCTGTAAGCCAAATAATGACTGAACCACTGCGAGTCATTTGGCTGCCGGTACCTGCCCTATGTGCTCAGATTTATAGGGATTTTTTTGTTTGCACTTGTCACTTCTGTGGCATTTGTAGCTAATATGTTTTCTCTTTGTTGGCAGGTGCGTTAAACCTCTACAGTTTGTCAAGCTTTGCAGTGCAAGCCTCTGTATTACACTGCAGCTTAACAAGTAGGGCAGGGCTTTTCTGTCACTTACATTTATTTCTCATTTTCAAAACAATATATAGTTGGTTTGCTGGTCACAATTGCTACATCTTATTGCATTTTTGGTCAGACGCTGTCAATGATGCTCTAATGGGTCTGTGCCCTATGGTCTGTACCCCAAAGCCTGCCCACACAACCTGGTCAGAATGCAGGGACCGCTGCGCTTTGAAGATCAAGACTCTGCACGTGGAGATCAGAACATTGCCATGTTCTATCCAACCTCCACCCAAATGGTAATGGTAGATTATTTAAACAAAATTCCAGTAATTAGTATTTCTAAGGTTCACCGGATAACACAGTGTTGCCTCTCTATTAGGACACCATTAAATCTTTGATGTACAGTTCCCGTTCTCTTCATAGGTGTATCGCAGAGGGCTTCAGGCAATTCCTCTTAGTGTTGATCTTTGGATACATTATATAAACTTCTTAAAAGAGACGCTGGACCCTGCTGACCCTGAAACTAACAGTAGTGTAAGAGGGTAAGTTGGTTGCAAAGTGAGTTCTTGGTGAAACACGGCTAGATAGTTGCATAGGAATATATGTGGTTCCATGAAGATGTTACGATCTTCCCCTGTGAGATGGAAGCATCCATCATTTTATGATCTCTTCGTTTTATGTTCGATAAGACTTCCATTCATTCCTCGGAGCCTTGGAGGTAAAGTCTTTGGGAAGAAGATAGTAATTTTCTGTTCCACTTGTTCCCTTTATCGTGAAAATACCAGGAAAATCTCTCCAGAGCTCCTCTTTCTAAAAGTCTTAGTTTGGTTGTGTATCTGGAGAATATTTTTGGTCAAGTGCATATTTTGAATCTCCTCAATGTACAGTTACAAATAAAGGGATGTGATTTTTTTCCTTATTTAACTGCCGTTTCCGCACCCCTTCTCCCTTTCACACTCCCACTACGTCTTGTTAGATGATCTACTCCATCCACCAATATCAGTGAATTTATTTCACTTTTCAGAACCTATGAACATGCGGTCCTAGCTGCAGGGACAGATTTCCGCTCTGACAGACTATGGGAGATGTATATAAATTGGGAAAATGAACAAGGTAACCTAAGAGAAGTTACAGCTATCTACGATCGTATCTTGGGCATTCCAACACAGCTGTACAGCCATCACTTCCAGAGGTAAGGAGAGCCTACAGCTTTATGTAGCTTTGTACTATTATTAATAAAGGTATGTGTGCAATAATCTTTAAAATATTTTTCTGAAACTGAAAATTGAGCTCCTGTTCAGATTGAACAGAGTTCCTGCATTTAAGTAAGAATGGTTCTTCCTCTTCAAAAACACCCCCCAAAAAGGTTTTGAGGAGGTATCCAGCATCTTATTATAGACAGCTCTGCTTATGTAGCATCTTCCTGTACTTTACATATAATATTAACCTGTATTTTTATTCTGTATATGGTTACCATGACTTTTGTTTTTCACATGATAGTCCCTCCTTTTCTATTTAAAGAAATGCTAATAAAAACATTGGAGACTGAACACACATTTTCAGCTCTTCATTTATAATGGGCAGAGATTTAATTTTGGGGAGATCAAACAGATCTCTTGAGCTGGGTGGAGGCAGCCAGACTTCAAACTAATGAAGAGCATGCAATGCAGTCAAATTAGTTTAATCATGAATTTCATGTAAAGCAGTACCGCTTGAGGCTGTAGACCAGCTGACTAAGCTGTGAAGGGCGAGTTCTTGTTCTTTGAAGCACTGAAGCAAAGTTCAAGTATTGTTGTCTAAAGAAATACTGGAAACACAAATATTCATTAAGTCTGCTGCAACCTACTCATCTCTCTTTTGTCTTCTCTGTTCTCTTCAAGAACAGTGTGGGAACTGTACATAAGAAAATATAAGTCAAATGGGTTGATTTCCTCTCCTCCCCGAGAAATCATACTGTTCAACTTCTAACTCCGTGTCCTGCTACAATATCATGCTCCTTGATGGGAAAAACACTAAACAAATTTTGCAACAGTTCCGTTAAGAGAAATATTGATTGATTTTAGTTAGAGAACATCTATGTTTTACTTGGATAGGGGAGACTGTGCTTCTTGGATAGGGGAGACCGTGTATCTTACTTTTGGTTTTCAGTCTTCCTAGTGGTTTTTGCAGGAGTTCCTTCTTAGGCACTGAGAAACTGCCTCGTGCACATAGTAGGTATATGTAAGTTGAGAAAAGTCACATCTCCAGCACAGCTCTAGGTCCATAGAGCAGCAAGTAGCTCAGCACATGCTGATAAGCAGGTTCTTCTTAAACTTAAAGTGAGCATTTTTTTCAGGTTAGATGTGTAAAATTCACTGTTGCTGGCCCTTCCCTTTTCAGATTTAAAGAACACGTACAAAACAACTTGCCCCGAGACCTCTTAAGTTCTGAGCAGTTTATTCAGCTGCGCAGGGAACTGGCTTCTGTAAATGGCCATAATGGGGAGGCTGCACCACCTGGAGCTGACTTTCCTTCTGGAACTGAAGACATCACTGACCCTGCAAAGGTAAGTGTGCAGGAGAGGTGGAGGAGCTGCTGTGTCCGTGTTTGCAGCAACAGGATAGATAGAGGAGGGTTGAATACTCCAAATAAACAGGGTAAGAGTTGTGGCTTGTTCTCCGAACTCTTTCCTTAATATTGGCCTGTGCAGATTCCTGTTGCACAAAGGCATGTAAAAACTTCGAACCGGCTTGAAACAGTTGCCTGCTGGGAGCTGTGCGCATCCAGAGGATTGAGTCCCATTTGGATCCAAGCCAGCCCTCCGAAGTAAGCAGCAGGCCATTGGGTATAATACTTCCTCAGAGCCAGTGCTCTTATCCTGTTTATTTGGAACAGCACTTAAAGTCGCTGTGTAAGTTTCTGTTTTTAATTAATGCAGGCTGCTTCCATCGTCAGGTGGTGTTGCAACCTTTGATACTGGACACGAGCATCTGTCTGCTTTCTGTTAATTGCTTATTTAAATGTGTCTCCTAGCTAATCACTGAAATAGAAAACATGAGGCACAGAATCATTGAGATTCATCAAGAAATGTTCAATCACAACGAACACGAAGTCAGCAAGAGATGGACATTTGAAGAAGGAGTAAGTTTGCCTGTGTTTAAATATTTGGTTTTTTTTCCCTATGAAAGAGTGGTCTAGATGCTTGAATGTAGGACTGGGAACATGAATATCTGGGGGTGTGTGAGCCTGGATATGCCTATACTTGGCTGACATTTCTGTCAGGTTTTGGCCAAATAGCTTCTCTCTGCCTCAGTGTCTCTTGTATCAAAAAAGTGATGGCTTCTACCTCTCATGGTCACATGTGAGCATCATTTACTAAATGTTGGTGGAAGGCACTGAGTGTTGCTTTGGGAGAGGGAAGATAATATATTTCACTAAGTGTATTAGATTGGGTCTTTTTACTTTATATTTTTTTTTTTTTTTAATTTGCTAATGCCTAAGATTTGTCTTTAAATAGCTGCAAATTAGACTGTGGTCTTCGTTTCATAAAAAGAAATGGGATCCAGGCAGTTCCCACACTTGCTACTTTTTGGTCACTCTTGGGATTATCACAAACAGGGGGAGAAAGCAGTGTGTTTTTAAATGAAAGTAGCATATGCAAAACCCTGGGCAAGATGCTGCAGGGAGTAAAACACAGGTTGGAGCAGCGGAAAAAGCTTCCTTAGACCTTTTTTTTTTTGCAGGGCACACTCCAGCACACTTTTTCCTGTGCCCTCTTAAAACAGGCCAAAGGCTCTGCTAACTTTAACAGTGGCCTGTAACAGCCGTACAGGCTGGAGCAGTGTTTAACCTCTAGGAAACTTCTGACCATGAAAATCCCCTTTAGTTGCCACTCCAAGAACATAAGTGACACGTGGCATACAGAACTGCTGTCTTTGTGCCACCCTAGGGCAAATGCTTACTCTGGAGCCACGTAACATGGACGCACAGTGCACTGTGGCTTTGCTCCAGCTGAGGACGCGGAGCAGGATTTTTCCTGCAGGTTTAACTTGGCATTGTGCAGCCCATCTATATCATAACAGATGCAGCTGGGATCAGAATTTGTTGTTAAACTAGGGAAACAGGAATGTAAAAACTGCTGCGTTGGTAGTGTTGCCCCATTTAACAGTTCAGTGGCAACCTTACCTGCTGGGCCTCTCTGACTTCCTCGCTTGGCCCAGTTGATTCAGTGTTAAAAAAAATATACACGTGAGGATGGATTTGCATTTCTCAGAAAGTTCTCATTGAACCCAGACTTTAAAAGTGGGTGCCTACGTAAGGTGCTTTAATCCCAATAAAAGAGATCTGATTCACCCAAAGACCCTTGTCTGCTTGTGTCCTTAGACCAACACGGCTACAACCAACGCCCCTTAATCCACATTAGGTGTCTGAGTAAGTGGCCTGACTGCTCAGAAATGCTTGAGTACCTTTCTAGATTAAATCAATCAGTTAAGTCCCCTTGCTCTGCAAGAGCTAGAGACAGATTGGTTCTACAGGCATCAATGTAATGGGCACATGAGAGGACTGTAACAGAACTGCTGACAGGGAGAAAAACAGGGTTGATAAAGGACAGCCATCCAGAAATGGAGCATCTACCCTCTGAAGGGGAAGTCCTGTTAAGCCTGCTTCATTATTACCCCAGCCATCTGCCTCTCTTTCCTTATCCAAATCATAAAATGAATTGCGCCCTCGGGCCACAGCAGTGTTTAGACTGGGATACCATGGGAAATGGCAGGCTTTAATTAAGTTCAGATGCCCTGCTTTGCTTTATTAAGGTATTGACAACATTACTCCTTTTAATAACAGTTGGAAGGAGCTAGCAGTGTGGATGTGCTTAAGGTAGTTTCAGTGCAAGAGAGAAACTTTCAGGTGAAATCAGAGGGAGAGAAACAGGCGTATCTGGAGTCCTGCAGGCAAAGTGAGCCATGTAGTGTTTGCTCAGAGTACTCAGGGTGTGGTTGGAGAACAGTCATTATTTGTTCTTGCATGGCATCCTGCCTAAATCTTTCTGCAGTCAGCATTTTTTTTTGGAAGGTAATAATTTTATTGCTGAGATGCAATCTTGTTAGCTTTGCAAAACTCAATTAAAATGTTTACTGTTGCAGCGCATGTAAGTGCTTTAATTGTTTTTCATCCGAACGGTTCCCAAAATGATTTGCGGGATTATAAATGATTAACCAATTATATCGGAGGGCTGGGTGACTACAGAAGTAAGTACTTTATACATATGCAGCTTGGGTGGTGAAATTGGTTTTATTTACAAGTTCATTGCTGTCATGTTTGAATTGCAGATGGGGGTGGGGAGGAGGAGATGAATGGCTAACCGTGTTTGCAATGGGACTTCTTTACTTAAATCCTGGAAACATTTCTGTTGTTCCCTTGGTTGTATGAAAACTTCTTTATAAAACCTAGAGTTTAGTTTAATAATGCCAACCTTTTCTTTAAAATGAATCACCTCATGACAGCGTTTCTTTAAAATTAATCAGACCACAAAGTTCCTTCAGTCCGTTTGTTTAAATAACCTGCGCAAGAATATAATTTTGAAAAAAGTCCAGAGAGTCATTATATGATCCAACTACAAAAAAAAAAAAAAAAAGTTTCTTGCTAAGTGTTATTTTTGCCCATGTTGTCAGTTTACTGGTGAATTTGCATTCCCGTGTTGTGCATCCATTGCAGATAAAGCGGCCTTACTTCCATGTAAAACCTTTGGAGAAAGCTCAGCTGAAAAACTGGAAAGAGTACTTAGAATTCGAGATAGAAAATGGGACTCATGAGAGAGTTGTGGTCCTCTTTGAAAGATGTGTTATTTCTTGTGCCCTCTATGAGGACTTCTGGATTAAGGTAAGGGCAGTGGTTTCCCACTGAACTCTTTCTGATTGCAAACATTGATCTAGTGACTAACCTTTTGTACTCTTGTTGAATGTTGTTCATATATAACTATATCTGTTGCATTAGGAGATGGTCTGCTTGCAACCAGATTTGACTGCTGCATATGCCAACTTCGTTGCCTCTCTACGTCCTTCCTTACAGAAACTAGTCTAGTGGTTCAATAAAGGTGCTGAATGGGTTTAAACAAAAGAATTTTATCGTTCTGTCATGTATTTAAAGACCCCAAATAAGCTGTAAAATTATTCAATCTCTACTTTGTTTTCAAATGTAGTATGCCAAATACATGGAGAACCATAGTATTGAAGGAGTGAGGCACGTCTACAGCAGGGCCTGTACGATACACCTTCCTAAGAAACCAATGGTCCACGTGCTGTGGGCTGCCTTTGAAGAACAGCAGGGTAAGAGTCAAGTTAAATGAGGAGCCTTTTTAGCAGCTCCTACCTCTACTGTTAGGAGCAGAGTTTATTTTTATTTTTGGATGTGGTAGAGCATGCATCATCCTCAGGGCCTTGCATTTCTCTTTCAGGGAATATCAACGAAGCAAGAAGAATCCTGAAAACGTTTGAAGAGTGCGTTGTAGGATTAGCCATGGTTCGCCTGCGAAGAGTGAGCTTAGAACGCAGACATGGAAACATGGAAGAAGCTGAACACTTGCTCATGGAAGCTGTGAAGAACGCCAAATCAAGAAACGAATTGTCATTTTACACCATCAAGCTTGCTCAACATCTCTTCAAAGTACAGAAGAACCTCCCAAAGGCAAGAACAGTGCTGTCGGAAGCCATTGAGAAGGACAAAGTATGTGTTTCCAGAGGGCTTTGTAGGCAGCCCTTTGTCTCGTGTTACATTTCCTCCTGATTTAAAGCTATAAAGCAAGGCAACAATGATGACAGCTTGTCAGTCTGTATGTAATGCGTTGTATTACTACATGGAGACACCAGTCCCTCTAAGCTGATGTTGCCAGGTTTGCAGGTTTTGAATCCTACCTTTTACCCCAATCCCAACAGCACTCCTGATTTCCCTCCTCCTTCTGAGGCATGTCCTTGTCTTTGTCCCTCTCCCTTCCAAAAATAATAAGCAGTGTTTCATAGTTTCACAGTTGGTAGGGTCAGAAGGGACCTGAGCAGATCATCAAGTCCGACCTCCTGTCATGGGCAGGAAAGGATGCTGGGGTCAAACAACCCCGGCTAGGTGATTGTCTAGCCTCCTTTTGAAGACCCCCAGGATAGGGACAAGCACCACTTCCCTTGGAAGTTGGTTCCAGCTCCTAGCTGCCCTGACTGTGAAGTAGCGCCTCCTGATGTCTAGCCTGAATCTACTCTCCGTCAACTTATGGCCGTTGTTCCTTGTTACTCGCAGTAGTGCTCGGGGGAACAGGGACTCTCCCATTCCCCGCTGATCACCCTTGGCCAGTTTATAGATGGCCACCAGATCCCCTCTCAGCCTTCTCTTGTGCAGCCTGTACAGGTTCACAGTACTCCATCTGTGGCCTGACCAGTGCCGCATAGAGGGGGAGGATCACCTCCTTGGACCTGCTCGTGATGCATCTGTGGATACACAACAAGGTGCGGTTGGCCTTCCTGACTGTGTCCCCACATTGGCAGCCTATGTTCATCTCGGAGTCTATAATGACTCCAAGATCCCTTTCTGCCTCTGTGCTGATGAGAAGGGAGTTCCCCAGCCTGTAGGTCTGCTGCTGGTTCTTCCTCCCCAGGTGCCGTACCTTGCACTTGTCAGTATTGAATCCCATCTCGTTCTCATCCACCCACCCCTGTAACCTGTAAGGGGTATAAGAGTGCCAGCATTGACTCTGCGTGATTGGCACCGTTTTTGGGATGGGATTGGTTTGTATGGGTGACTGACTCTTGGCCATGCAACCTCTTACTGATTGCAAGCTGACACCCATTCTTGGATGTGCTATAGTTCACAAACGAGGCAGGTCCAAGATCATCTCTCCTTGCTCTTGAGGAGAAGGAAGCCTGTACTGGCTATGCTACAGCAGAGAATTGTAGCTTAAAACAGGGCCATCCCAACTTCAGAAAGGCTGGGGGCCACATGCTGTACTGGTTATGAGCCCCAGGCTGCACACCGCACAGGTTGCCAGGATCCTCACTGTGCAAGTGGTGTGAGCCATTCCCTGCCAGTGCTGTGGGGGTGAGCGCCAGTTCATGTGTGATTTGTCATTGTGCCAGTGGGAATTTCCTGAGTCCTCCATCACCATGCTGCCCTGCCCTAGCAACTCTGGGCTACTGCTGCAGGAGCAGCGAGGGGAACTGGTGGCTGGGTGGGAAGCCTGTGGACTGCACTTTAACTCCTTCTGGGTAGATGCAGCCTGCGGGCCACCAACAGGCCACAAAACAGTCTGGGACCCAGAGCTCTTGAGCTAGATAGAGATCTTTGAGAGATGCTAGGACAAACAGTGCTGTCCAGCATTGGCCCTGCTTTGTTTTTACACAGGAGAACACAAAGTTGTATCTCAACCTGCTTGAAATGGAGTACAGTGGGGATCTCAAGCAGAATGAAGAGAACATCCTCAGCTGTTTTGACAAAGCTGTCAGCGGTGCGTTGTCAATAAAAGTGAGGATTACGTTTTCTCAGCGGAAGGTGGAATTCCTTGAAGACTTTGGTTCCGACGTGAGCAAGTAAGCTTTACCTTGCACTGTATTGGGGTCACTGAAAGAGCTGCTTATTAGGGCTGTGCGAAGCTTTGGTTGCTGATTCGATTTGGAGGAGATTCAGCCCAATTTGGCAGCCAAATCTCCAAATCTGAATGGAATCAGGAGACCCATTAATCTCTCTGAGTCGAATTGGAAGCCTCCGATTCGATTTGGAGAGATTCGGCCATAGGCACAGGTTTATATGTTTTTTCTATGGACCTTGAAGTACCAGGCACGGCTTGTGAACGCTGAGATGCTGGGGCGGATGGAGCGTCCCACGGGAGCGTGGTGGGGGGTCCGCTGTCAGCGGCAGACCCAGAAGCGGACCAGAAGTACTTCCAGTCCACTTCCAGGTCCACCGCAGAGCACGTGGGGGACTCCTCTGCCCCTCGGATCGACGACTGGTGCCTCTTGGGTCTGGCAAGGCACCCCTGCGGCCGATCTCCAAGCCGGAGGGGCATGAGGAGGGGGTCACCTACGTGCTCGGCGGCGGACCCAGAAGTGGACTGGAAGTACTTGCAGTCCACTTCTGGGTCCACCCCCGAGCGCACGGGGGCTTCCCCTGTGCTCCTTTGGGATACTCCATCTGCCCCACCATTGCAGTGTTCACAAGCTGCGCCTGGTACAAGATATGTAGAAAAAACATAAAGCTTCATCTGTGGCCGAATCGCTGATTCTCCAAATCAGCATCGAATCTTCAGATTTCGCCGAATCAGATTGGGACAGTGATCTGAATCGGTGAATCTAATTACTGTTCCCCAAATCAGGCCAAATCTGAATCAAGTACTGCCCGCTTCACACACACCCTGCTGCTTGTCAGTTGGGGAGAGGGTTATACTTAGCTACACTTATGAAACTGGTGTTACTTTTAGTGCTGCAGTCAGTGCTTTGCACTTGGGATTTTCCCAGAAAATCTGTAGCGCAACTGCTCTTCTCTGAAAAGCAGCCATTTTGGCTTACAGCGTCTCCTGCTCGTTCACACTCCGCAAAACCATTGTTCTTTTGTTTGAAAGCTGTGGTAAGGGATCACCTACGTGGGCTGCGTAGTGAGGAGAGCTCTTGAAAGAGGAAGAGGTTTTTTTTGTTTCTCTAAAAACAGTTTGACATGCTTTAATTGTAGACCCAGCCGCATCTTATATTTTCAAACACGTCCTGATTTTAATCTACCCTGAGACCAAGTGCTGCTGACATGTTAGAAGCTGCAGGCTTTCCAGTAATACGCTTTGCATAGGTCTTCCCTGGGGATCACCCAGTTGTGCAACAGCGCAGCAGTGAACAAAGCACTTGGTCATCTTCATGCTCTGTAACATCTAAACCATCCGGCGCTGTATATATGTTCGTGAATGTAAACCATCAACTGCCAAAGCAGAAATACAGACATGGTTGATGTTTCATAGTGAACTTGGGAACTCCCAATTTATTAATGTGATAAACGTTGTTTATAGAAAATTTTGTTGGAATTTTTTTGTAGAAAATTATAAAATGTACTTACTTGCTACTGACACAGCCGTGCCCCTTCATTCTAATAACACGGATGGAGGAATGCATGGGTACGGTGAACTCTTTTTGAACCGTAGCCAAAACTTGGAAAATGTAGAGGTTGCGATCTAGTTATTTTAATACCGTCCTGTTGTGAACTTTCCGCGCCCAGGCTAAGTGCGGGGGTTGTTTGGTTTTTTTTTTAGGCTTTTGGATGCCTACAGTGAACATCAAGCCCTACTAAAAGAGCAGGATTCCTTAAAAAGAAAAGCAGAAAATGGGTATGAACTGTTGCCTTGAATTTGTGATACTGTTCAATTTGGTGTACAGACAGTGTGTAATGTATCTGTTTGAAAAGAGTTTGGAAACTCTTCAAGAAAATGGTCAGTGACTACCCCTTGTTCATGGTTAAGGGTTTTTTAAGAGGTAAGATTGGGGAGGGGGGGGAACCCCAGCTTTAAACAATTTGGGCTGCCAGAAATGCAAAATACTAAAAGACAGATGTGTGGTTCCATCCTTAAATGGACTTGAACTAAAATACTTAGGCTGAAGTAAGAATTCAATTATCTAAAGCAAGAATTAAATCGGGTAGAACTTCCCATTGACTTCTTAAAGTGAAAGCTTGTCTTTGACTGCTTGAAATAAAAAGCATGTCAGAAATTCAAGCTTGAAATTTCAGCCTGTAGCCCTATAAAGGGGTACATTAAGGCAGGGGTGGACAAGCTGTGGCACATGTGCCACAAGTGGCATGGGCAACCTCTGTGTGTGCCATGTGACAGATCCAGGAAGAAATAGGGAGTATAGCAGCAGGTAAAGCAGGAAAAAGAGCAGCAGTCAGGCAGGGAGCAGAAAACAGAGGAGCCGATCAGGCAGGGAGCACAGGGCTGGGAGCAGAAAGCAGAGCAACTGCTCGGGCAGGGGAAGGGGCTCTGGCCATCAGAGGGTGTGGAGCTAATTCGTGGCACACCTACTGAAAAAGTTGGCTCCCTGCTGCAGTGGGGTGCGGGAGACGCTGCAGAACCATTTTATATGTTTTGTTGCTGTTGAACAATGTCTTTATATTTAATTTTTTAGATCAGAGGAACCAGACGAGAAGAAAGCACATACAGATGATGCGACTATGGCTTCTACGCAGATGATGGATGGAGACATGCAGGCCAATCAGATGGCGTATAATTACAGTGCTTGGTACCAGGTGAGTGTGACACAGTCTGTTTCCTTTGTTCATCCATTTCAAATATACAAGGCCTGTTTTATTCCCAGTCATTTCTTTTTCTGCATCCAGGTACTTGTTGGCCATGTCAGATAAAATCTTAGTTCTCTCATGTTTTCTCCCTGCCCCTGCTCTTTGTGAACGTAAGAAATGCCATTCTGGGTCAAACCACAGGTGCATCTAGCCCAGCGTCCAAAGTGTGGATGCTAAGATGGATCTGCTTCTTCTCCTTCATCTTCCAGGTCTCAGAGGCCTTTGAAATTCCTCATGTTGAGGTGCACCCTTACTTACCATGTTTAATACTCACTGATGGACCTGTCCTTTCTCAGTCTGTTTAGTCCCCATCTTGCCTTTGTCATGTTCCTTTGCAGAGGACTGAACACATGCGGCAGACTGCAGCGGTTGGCGCTTGTGCAAATTGGTCCTTCTTACACAGGTCTGCTAACGTTTAAACACAACTGCAAGTGCAGGAAGGGTGGAGGGAAATCATTTCTTTTCATGCTGGAACTTTCTACTCTGCAACACACCCTGAATGCACAAAAGTCACCTCTGGGATGCCAAGCTCGTCCTATTTGTCTGGTAAATTGCCCCAGCACTTCACTTAAGAAGTCATTTGACTTGCTTTGTATGGTTATTAGTACAAGTGTGCTTTGGTACAGATCCACTGTAGGCCTCCATGTGCACAAGATTGAAGTCTTTGGAATAGCTGTATCTGGGGCTGCACAATGCCCTGTGCTCTCTCTTGCTTCCATAACAAGGCGTAAAGGGTGGGAAAGCTGCAGCATCCCCTCGGTTCTCGTGCTGCCTGGCTGCATCTGACAGAGCCCAGCAAGGATGCGAGCTGTTAGTTTTTCTTAGCTCTGGCTCTACGCCGTTCAGAACGGTTGGGACGTGTTCTGCCCACTCGAGGACAGCGCGTACAAACCACCGTCCACTGGAGCGGGTTCTGGATGGTCAGATCCCACCCCATTATACAGGGCAGATCAACCGCCCACCTAATGCAGACTTAGCCTTGGAGTGTCAAGCCCTGTATGTCTTGGACTAGACAAATCCTATTAATGGATAGCAGGTGGCTCATCCGTCTTCATGGAAGTCATGTACCAAATGTTTGGTGTGCCAGTGTTCTTAGACTACTGGCCAATTGTAGGACACACCTGAAACTCTTAGTTATTGGGGATGTCGATGACAGTCTTGGCAAGCTTTGGAGTATAACTAGGTTGCAGACCCCACCAAGTGTGGCAGAAAAGTGTCTTTCTGTACAGCCTCTAATAGTCAGACCTTTGGAAGCATCACCAACAACATCCAGGTGCTGCAAAGAGACTTGGTTCAGAGAGCTTCACCCCAGCAGCACGTGTGGCTCTGAACTCATTTACTGGAAGACTGTCCTGAACATGGACACCAAGCTGTTGGCTGAGTGTAGAGGACACATGAAGCCTTGCTGAGGAGAAGATTCGTTAAGCCCTGCATTGCATCCATGGCTGGCGACAAAGAGCTTTCTACTATCCTGGCACCAGTGAAACTGCAGCAACAGCCAGCGGTGACTTGAGCAATAGAATCAGTGATGGCGGCATAACCACTCATGGGGTTGAAGGACTCTGGACTTGTGAAATGACCCAGGCGACACAACACTCAGTCAGGGCACGTACTTCAGTGTTGACAGTGTCATGTGTCTAAAGGAAATCTCTTCTTCCCCATCGACAAGACATGACTGCTTACCTCATGTGAGTGAGGGAATGCGTCTTTCTTGAGTTGCTTGGTGAGAGCATAGATTGAACGAGTGGTTCTCCTCGCTGGGACAGGCAATATCAGGCATATCCTAATCCACTGGTGTCCTGTGGAGATTAGAGGCAGTCTCCTTTGTATACTTCCAGGAGCAGTCTCTTCCTTTTTCTAGGAAGAGGAGATTGTGCCCTCTAGAGGCATTGCTGATGCCGGGTCAGGCAGATCTCCCAAGTGTGGGAGCAGAGGAGCAACAGGATTCTCCTTTACCTCTGAATGAGCCATCAGTGGTGGGAGTGGAGACCTCCCCGCTGGATGACCTAGTCATTCTGCCCCCCTCCCCCTCTCCCAGCCACAGCAGCGCCTGAGGAGAGGTGGTAACAAGTACAGCAGCCAAGGTATGAATATTTTTATGCCCACAACATCCGAGACTCCTTGGTTGTCTTAGGAATCGGAGCTGGAAGGGACCTCCAGAGGTCATCTAGTGCAGGATCTTGCACGAGGCAGGCTCATCTACATAATTACAAGGCACGCTGCCAGCCACCAAAAGCCACAGGTAAAGCAGGGGGACAAGGGCTGTTAGTGTCTGCTGCTGCAAGGGTTATTTAAAATGCACTCAAGCCATGCCCCACACTGCAGAGGAAGGCAAAACCCCCATGGCCTGTCCCAGTCTGACCGCAGGGTAGAATTCCTTCCTGGTCTCAGAAGCAGCTCAGTTTGTGGAGGAGAAATCCTACTTCTCTGCTTCCTCTCCCTGAGCCTTCCTGGATAAAGACAACTTTCTTATTGGGACGGACGGATTTTACCAGGCTTCTGCACCAGAACCAGGATGAGCTCATGGTGGATGATTTTGTGTCCTAAGACTTACTCCGTAAGTATCTGTGGGCAGTTCAGTTACTGCCTGCTCCACGGCTAAGCAGTGATGGTGCTCAGGGCCGCTGCATGGCTCTAGGTGCCAGGAATTCCCAAGGATGTATTAGTCTGAGGCGTAGTCATCCTTGGACCATCAGAAGTGCTGTGTCAGCACGTACCCTTCAAAGTGCCCTGCTCTGTTCCACCAGCACTGCATGGGGGGTAGCAGTCGGGACCCACAGCTTCCCTTCTCTCGCTCCCCTCCCCCTTGGGGGACCTTCTCATCCTGTTGGCTACAAACACAAGTGGTCATCAAGTAGGCGGTATTGGCATCCTGGGGGAGAGGCTTCTACTCCAGGGGGTTCCTTTATTTCAAGGAAACCAGGAGCCGGGAAGGTGTCTTCAACCTCTCCTAGATGGTTCGTGAACGGCAGCCACTTTGGTCTGCTTCAGGAGCATGCCACGAGACCCGCATGGCAGCATCACAGAGCAATCCACTGACCTCATCAGACCTTCTGCCCTTGGCTTCGGGGCCACTAGGGATATGCCTGATATCTTTGATTAGGAGTGTCCTGACCCCCCCCAGTAACCATAGCACAGGTCCCCCGCCAGCGCGCCTTCTGTGCTTGACAGGCCCTGGGAGGGGACCGAGGGCAGGCCAGGGTAACTGTGTCCTTTAAGCTGTTTCAGACACGGTAAGGCGCACGTACAGCCCCACAGATGCAGCCAGTCAGAAGACGGTAGTTTTGTGCACGCGCAAATACATGGGCATGTTCAGTGGGTCCCACAATGGCCACGTGAGAGAGAAACGGTTGCTGTTGCGTTCACAGCTGTTCATTCTGGAGTTGTTGAATGTTAATATAGCAACTCGCCAAATATCCTGTGCTGCTGACTCACCCCACGTTGTCTTGCTTTTCCAGTACAACTACCAGAACGCGTGGACTTACGGACAATATTATCCCCCCCCTCCCACCTGATTAGAAGAGCGACTGGAGTTCACTGTGGAACTGCAGCAAAGACGGACTATAAAAATATATTTTTTTAAATTTGGGATGTGAAGAGAACTGTTGTCAGACCTGCCCTTCAGTCTTTGCATGAGACAAACCGGTGTTCACAGGGTGTACGTGAAGCAAGACGTGCGTGTCGGTAAATGATAATTGAGCTCTCTGTACGCGGCTGGTTTACCATAAACGCAGTTTTATTTCCCATGCTAACTTATGGAGAAATGACCTGGAGAACTTGGTTTTGGTTTCAGTTTTTGCTCGTGTTGGTTCTGTAGGTATCATCTCCTTCAGATGACCACCCGTTTTAAGCAGATGAGGGCACACCGGAGCTAGGCAGGGGCTGGAGGGGCCCCAAATGTAAGCAAGGCCACCCCTTTCCTGCTTTTTCCCTGACCAAAAATTGATCTCCTCATCCGCTTCTCCTGTGAAGGTTTTTCCTGTAACTCGGTGACGGAGCCCAGAGCAGTGTCTGTCCGCATTGTCATGATCACACAACTCTACTGACAGTGTTTGCAAGCTGTCACATGCATTTTATATTGGGGGGGGGGGTCACACTATAAATAGAGCGCAGAATGACTTTTTTTTTTTTTTTTTTAAAAGGGCTGCAAAGGCAGGCACTGAAACTATCGTGTGTTTTGGGGTGGATTTTTTGTATTTCCATTTTTCATGTATGTTGTGAGCAGACTCTTTATTTTGATCAAAATGATCATTCTTTTTGTAATAAAACTAAGGAATTGTCCGCAAATTCATCTCCAAGCTCTATGGGTTTTCTTCGCAAGCCCAGCAACACCGTGACGGTAACAATTCAGCAAGCATTTTGCGGTTAAACTCCCACAAGAATAAAAAACCCAGATCATACTCATGCCATTAGCCATGCAGCTATCATCCACGTAACTTTTATTCGCAACCTTTGGCTTAAAGCAGTTTAAAAATGAGTGTTAGCTGACTTCAGACCACAGAAGCACTAAGATTGAGGCAGCAAAGGTGAACCCGTAGTGTTCAAACACCAGCACTGAAGGAGCAGATGACTGCTACTTTGGAAGTCGGGTGTGCACAGACAGCTGTGGCAGGGCCCTCCATTTGTTCAATGTTGGTGGTGTTCAGACAGACTATATGCTGCTTGCTGACTGTGCTGGATCCCACGTTCCTTTACAGCATTTCCCATGAAAGCTGGTCTCAGAGAGACCGGGAAGACTGACAGTAGGGTTTGGGAACCACCTCTGCTCTACACAACAGAGCAGTTACCACCTACAGCATGTGCCTTTGTGCTGTTTCAGCTAACGAGCTGTCTTCTGCTTGGGAGAAGGCATCCTAGAGCAGAGGGGCGAGTGTACTGCTTCACTGCTGCCTGCAATGACGGGCACGGAGGGAAGCAGCTGGGCTGCTCTGCTTCCTGGACTTACGTGCCAGATAAGATCCAACTGCCCTTCCCTTGGGCAGTGGCAGTGGTTAAGGCTCCCTGGGTCCAAACAGCTCAATACTCAAACCCACGTAGTTTGCCAGGCTCAATGAGAAGGAACTAGCCCAGCTGCATCTATGTTATGGTGCTTGAAGAATAGACATACCGTGCCCCCACCCTCCCTAATGACATCACGTTTTATTGTGCTCAGTGACCATGGGAAGGCTATGCCACCTTTAAACTGAACACAAGTCAGAAAATGATGTGACCTGTTCAAAGAAACTGTGCCCATCCTTCAGACACCTGTTTAACATCCATGATAACTATGTCAGTGCCAGTCACTGTACATAGGTGGACACATCCCTTTCCAACCAGCGGTTTGGTCACCTGTTACCCTCTCTGGGGCACGCTGACATAAGGAACAAAGCTGGGCTGAAAAACCCGTTGGGGTACTAAGGGGTCAACAGACCACCACATGGGTCCCCTTCTGAATGGCTCAGGGCTATAAACTTCCCTGAGCACAATCAGAAACAGAAGGGTTTCCCCGCTTGTTCAAGCACCTCTACTGTGCATGCAGCTTCCTAGAGCATGTCTGTGGGTAAAACATACAAGGTATGAGTGTGAACTGGCCCCCACCCTGAGGGGCTTCAAGCGCTATAAAAAGAGGTAGGCAGTCAGGTTTGTAAATGAGAACTCGGGCACAGACGGTAAGCGTTTCCTCAGACAAGCAGTGCAAGAGGAACTGGATGTCCTTCACTTGCTGGCAGTTGTATAAAGAGGCTGGAGCCTGTTACCCAGGGTTTGGCTCAAGCCCTTGAACATCTCTTCTACAGAAGAAGCAGCTGCAGTAGACCTTTACCTACCACCCAGCTGTGTTCAGTGGAAACAAATCAGTCTACAAGGCTCTAGGGAGGTCACACAACTGCTTTAGACCTCCTCTAAGAGGGAGCTGGCAGTACTGAAACTGCTGGACAACTGCTCATTTGGAGAACCGTGTTGGGCTGGTGGGTGAAGTAGCAAAGAACTCGAACTTTTAGGCCCAGGACTGCGCCCCCCTGCATCTCTTAACACCTCCTTAATATACTGCGGGACAGCTGATCCACTCCACTGGGCCAACCGCATCTCTGCTTACCTCTGCTTTTAGGCTACAGGAGCTGCCCCCCTTGCATCTCTTTTCTGACCGGATGAAATTCCAGTGCCATTCCCCACCTCCACCAGGCTCAGCTAGACCCCAAGCAACTCCTGGGTTCTTAGCTGGAGATTGCTTGCTCTCTGTCACTGCGTCTCCATCTCCTGTTGGTTCAGCCATGAAAAAAAAAAAAAAAATCCTTGCAGCAGGGCTGCAGTCACAAAACTACACTACAGCACAGCCCAGCCCTGTTCTGGAGACGTCTAACTGCTACAGCAGATGCCGTGATGTGTTCACCTGCAGTTTGCCATCCTTAAGCTAGAGCATTGCTGGGGCTCCAAAGACAGACAGAAACAGCCCCGTGTGAGTTTGAGGAGGGAAAATGCTGACACTGAGAGCTATTCCCTTCCTCTAGCCCTATGGCTGGAGCAGATGCTTTAGATGGGACTTGCGCAGCATTTGCTTCTTCCACAGCAGCAGAAAGGCTTTTCCAGGGGAGCTACTGCAGCATCACAGCACAAGAAAAATCAGCTCAATCACGTGCACGTGGCAACGGAGGTTTCTTTAGTGGTGTTTACTGAACAGCCGTTGGGACAAACCGGCTGATTTCAATAGGCAAGGCCACAGCTGTCACTAGCTCCTGAAGTTGCCAGGGCAGATCCGCCCGTCAGCCAACTCCTCCTGCACAGACGAGGTCACCGCAGCCAAAGGCAGGCAGCGGTCTTCACATCAGTCGATATCCACCAGCTCAACTTCAAAGAAGAGCTTTGCGTTTGGTGGGATCCTGTTGCTTTAGTTAAGGAAAGGTCTGCAGTGCTTGCGAGGTACAAGCTGCCACCATCTAGCTCAGGGACAGGCAATTATTTCGGGCGGAGGGCCACTTACTGAGTTTTGGCAAGCCGTTGAGGGCCGTGTGACAGGCAGCCAGGGGCAGATAAATATTAATTTTCTAAATTTTTTTAGAGGCCCTGCAGGCCGGACAGAATGGCCTGGCGGGCTGCATCTGGCCCACAGGCCGCATTTTGCCCACCCCCAATCAAGCTGATGTTTTTCAAGCATGCCCGTTTTCAAGAATGCGCCATGTCAGCAGCCTCTGGCAAGGACCAAGCTCTCCCTCCCCCCCGCTGTTCAGCACCTATTGGTGACATCTGCAACCTGGTGGCGATCATGCGAA